GCATACATATAGACATGCATGCATACATACATACATACATACATACATGCATACATACATACATACATACATACATATATACATGCATGCATACATACATACACACATACATACATACGCATACATACATACATACATACATGCATACACACATACATACATACGTAAGTACGTACATACATACATACATGCATACATATAGACATGCATGCATACATACCTACATACAAACATAGACACATACATACATACATACATACATACATACACACATACACACACATCAATACATACATACGTACATACATACATACAGACATACATGCATCCATCCATCCATCCATCCATCCATACATACATGCATACATACATACACACATACACATACATACATACATACATGCATACATGCATACATACATACGCATACGTACACACATACATACAAACACACATACATGCATAATTCCATACATACATACATACATACATACATACATACATGCATGCATACATACATACATAAATACATACATGCATACATACATACATACACACACACACGTGCATGCATGATTGTATACATACCTGCATACAGATGTGTATGCGTATCTGTATGCATATATACACACCCATCGGTCGAAAGAAGTAGGTAGCAACATGAAGTGGGAAGGCGTTGAACGCAGATCGGGTGTCCGCCCGCCCCCCAAGGAAGACGGAAAAGGTGAAGCCACCACAGGCAGACTGGAACCTGGGCCTCCGAAGACCGCTGCGCGCACGGAAGACCGGCCGCCTCCCAAACCAGGTACTCTCTCTGGCCTTCGCGCCTCCCCGTCCACTCGGCGGCGAGCCCCGGGGGGGCCAGAGGAGGAGGAGGCCTTCTCGAGAAGTGCCCCGGAGGAGGGAGGAGAAGGAAGCGAAAGAGAGGGAGGCAAGAGAAGGAAGGCCCCCCGGGCCTTCTGAGGCACCTTCTGAGCCTTCTTCGAAGGCGCCAGAGAACGAGCTGGCGCGACCCCCACTACGGGAAAGCTTCCTGTTGCACGGGCGCAGGGCCTGGCACTACTGGGCATGTCTTGGCATTGCCTCACGCAGGCCTGGCTGGGGAACGACCACGAGGCACCCTCTCGAGAACCCGGGGAGCCCGGGGAGCCCGGGGAACCTCCGAGAGAGCGGGCAGCGTAAGAATCGGAGGCGCCGAGGGCGCGGAGCCCGGGGAACCCGAGGCACCCGGGGAACCTGCGAGCAACGAGCAACGTAAGAATCGGAGGCACCAGCCTTTCACCAAGCAAGAACCCCTCAGGCAAGCCTGATTGGGGAACTTCTCAGAGGCCAGAGGGCCTCCGAGAAGCCCCGCTGACGTCTGAGAGGGCCTCCTCCTTCTCGCTTCCCCCCCCCCCCGCTCGCCCCCGGTCGACATGTTGACACGCTGTTATGCAAGCGGGCAGCCGCTGCACGACAAGAGGGTGTTCAAAAAATGAAACTCTCGCTCTAGACTTAAGTCGGGCCTGTCCCCCTACAGGGGGATTTCCGACGAAAAATACAAAAATACACCATACATAAGCAAAACATAATCCAAAAATAGTCGGGGGACTGTCTTTTTCGTATTTTTTGACCTTTTTGGGTGCATTTTTGGGGGTATTGTTATCTTTCGTCGAAAGTCCACCTGTAGGGGGGGACAGGCCTGACATAACTTTCGACTTCGTGGGGGCTCTCGCTCGGAGCCTTCGCGGCACGCCGTGGTCCGACGTCCGCAGCACGTGCGACGGCTGCACGGGCGGAGGGAGTGGCTCCTCTTCAGAGCGGGGCTGCCGCTGGGCACCGCCCTGCACTTTTAGAGGGGCCCTGGGACACGCAACATAAATACACACAAATGACATGATTCCCCGTAGTTTCCCATATGTTCTGGATGTCTGCCTTCCCCCCCCGCTTCCCATGTGTTCCCATATTTTCTGGGGAGTCGGGGATGAATTGTGTCCGTGTGTTTTTCCTCCGCCTGAACTTGATCCCCACCTCGTCGCACTACACTCGGCCCGTATCAGCAGGATGCGCGGTAAGGATGCAAGGGCCTCCAAGGGCCGCTTCGAGGCTGTTCGAGCGGGGCGCAGCCAGCGAAAATGGCCAATGAGAGAGAGAGAGAGAATAGATCCTAACCGTGAGGAGCTTTGCGCTTAACCGTGAGTGATTGAGTGCACGCTGTGAGTGCACGCTGTGGTGAGCGCACGCTGTGAGTGCACGCTGTGAGTGCACGCTGTGAGCCCACACAGTGGTGAGTGCACGCTGTGTGCCCCTTCGGCCGAGGATGGGCCGACGGGGGGCAAGGCTGCCAGGGCACCCCTGGGAAGGTTCGGAAACCGGACAAGGGCTGCTAGATCCGTGGCTGCTACAATCGACCTCCGGGAAATTGTCTTCGTCCTTCCGGGAACAAGCTCGTTGACTGTGTCGCGTGCCGCGCCTCTTTCCGGGAAATTGTTTTTTCCTTCCGGGAGGGCCGCTTTAGCAGCCACGGTTTGAGCAGCCCTCGCCCAGCTTTCGAAAGGTTTACCATCCTCGATATGCGGGCTGACTGTGCTGAGAGCCCGCAGGACGGCGGGCTGCTCGTTCCACAGCGGAGCTCCCGCCCGAACTGCGGGCCCGCAAGGCGCTCGTCTCTCGAGGGGGGGGGGGCGCTCCTCGCGCTGAAAACGCATGCCTGCAGGGACTGGAATGGGGATGGGGCTTTTTGGACGGGCGCATGGCCTGCAGCAGCGTTGACGCATACTTGGTTTACTCTAGCCCTCCTCCTCCTGCTCCTCCTGCTCCTCCTGCTCCTGCTCCTGCTCCTCCTCCTCCTTCTCCTCCTCCTCCTCCTCCTCCTCTTATGCCTCCTCCTAGCCCTCCTCCTCCTCCTCCTCCTCCTCCTCCTCCTCCTCCTCCTCCTCCTCCTCCTCCTCCTCCTCCTCCTCCTATGCCTCGTCGTCCTCCTCCTCCTCCTCCTCCTCCTCCTGGCAACGGTATTCACCACGGGCCGCGCTAGCGAGCCCGAACGGACCGCCTTGAGGAAGGCACGGCCACCGCGAAGGCCGCTGGTGCTCCCGTGCTCCTCCCTGGGGGAAGCCCCGCCTGAAGGACGCCGCTCCCCGCCACGAGCCGAGGCACCCGAATTCGTGCCCACTGGAGGCGCTGCTGCTGATGCACTGGAGCCTGGCCGCTCGGAGGCGTCCGAGGAGTGCACGGGGCCCACGGCGGAGGTAGCACGGGGCCGAGGCCGAGCGGGCACGGGGCGAGCCGAGCACGGCGAGCTGGCCGTCGCGGCCACCGCGGCCCTCGTGAGGCACCTGTCGCACCCCCTGGACGTGTTGGTAAAGCGGGCCGGGCGTTTCGCCCGAAACTCTCGCACAAGGTATCGGAGGTTGGAGGGTGATATCGCAGTGGAACGGAGAGCACCACGCCGGGAAATCGGTTTCGGTTTCGGCTTCGCCGTCGTGTCGCGCGTGCGGGCGAGGCGATGCTGCGTGGGCGCGCGAGAGGAATGACCCCGCCGTCGCTGGGGCGACGGCGGATGCAGTAGACCGCTCCTCCGCCCCCGGTGGGCGCGCGGTGGCCCAGGGTGTCCCGCCGTGGTGTCCTGTGATGTCCTGTGGTGTCCGTTGGTGTCCCGTTGGTGTCCCGTCGGGGTTCCGTCGGCGGTGGGCGGGCGGTGGCCAGGGGTGCCCCGCCTTGGCATCGATAGTGAAGTCGATAGTGAGATCAATAATGAGATCTCTAGAATGGGATGGATAGTGAGATTGAAAGTGAGATCGACAGTGAGGTTGCTTTTGACACTGGTTGTGAGATCGATAGTGGGATCGAGAGTTAGATCGATAGTGAGATTTAAAGAGAGAGAGATCTGTAGTCATATCTATAGTGAGATCAAGAATGATATATATATATATATACAGAGAAATCGATCGAATGTGATCGATCCTGTGGTCGACAGTGGGGTCGATCGGGTGAGATAAACCGGGGACGATCGTGGAATTACATCGCAGCGCAACATCGTCATCACGCGTCGTCGCTAAACGCTAAACGAGGGCGCGTCACCAACATCGTCAACATCACACCCATCGCATGTACCAGCAGCTGGTTCATTCCCCACCACCCCCAACCTCCTTATCACCCGAAGGGTGGTCGTATATGTATCTATGTATGATCCTGGAGCTTGAAACTTACAACAGGTTCACGGATGCAGAGTGCGTCCTTTTCAAAAAGTGGCTCTCGCAATAGCGCCGCGCACATTCGTCTGAACAGCTGAAACAGCGTCACGGATGAAGGCGGGAAGTTTACAACATGTAGCTTTCACCTCAACGCCGCGCGCCTTCGTCTGCAAAGCTTGTAACAGCTTCAAGGATGAAGGACAGGTCCCTTTCAAAATGTGGCTCTCGCAGTAGCGCCGCGCACATCCGTCTGAAATGTGCAACGGTCTCAAATTTTGAAGACGGCTCATTGTCGAACTGTGAATCTTGCCTTTGCGCCACGCACATCCGTCTTAGCAATTGCAGCAGTTTCAAATATTCCTATGGTTGAAGTCGCAGGAACGGTGTTCTGGCATGAACAAGAACTGTCAAGACGCAACAGTCACGTTGATTCGCGGCGCTGAAATCCCAGAAACGGTGTTCTGGTAAGACTTAAAACCGTCAGGACGCAACAGTCACGTTGATCCGCGGCGTTTAACTCCCAAGAATGGCGATTGGGCGCGATGGGGGACTCTCGAACGACTATCGTCTTACAGGAGGGAACATGGATGGAGGGTTCATTGCAACATCATTGATGCGTCTCGGGTTTGCACCCCTCCTCCTCCTCCTCCTCCTCCTCCTCCTCCTCCTCCTCCTCCTCCTCCACCTCCTTTCCCTCCTCCGCCTCCTCCTCCTCCTCCTCCGCCTCCTCCTCCTCCTTTCCCTCCTCCGCCTTCTTTCCCTCCTCCGCCTCCTCCTCCTCCTCATCCTCCTCCTCCTCCTCCTCCTCCTCCTCCTCCTCCTCCTCGCCTGCTGCCGCGGCGCTTTCGGGGTGTAGTAGCTGCTCTTCCGCCGGCAGCTGAACCAAAAGTCCGCCCCCCCCGCTCGCGTGTTGCGGGGGGCCGCCGGCGCGCGGCGCGGGCGGTCACGAGCGCCAGCTCCGCCGCCTGCCTCTTCTCCTGCTCCTGCCACCCCCCATCGCTCCCCCCCCCCTCCTTCGCACCCTCCCTCTGCCTCCCTCTGCCTCCCTGTGCCTCCCTCCTTCCCTCCCTGTGCCTCCTCTCGTCTCCCTCCCTTTGCCGCCCTTCACCTCCCTCTCTGCCCACTTTCCCGCTCTGCCCACCTTGCCATCGCTCGGACGTCCATTTCCCGTGCATTTGTCGGTTTCGTGCGTGTTTTTGTTGCTCGATGGTCCAGGATGGTCCTCGGTGGTTCTCGCCGAGAAAAAACGCACGCGTCCGAGCGATGCCCAGCCACCCCTCTCTCCACCTCTCTTCGCACCTCCCCGCCCTGCCTCGGCCTGGGGGCACCCCGGGTGGGCCCCCGCCCCCGCCGCACCGGCGGGCCCCCGAGGCTTTGGGTTCAGTCGGCTACACGTAAGAGGTGACCCTGGGTAAGAGTGACCTTTGGTGCGCGGCTTTGGGGGGGCCGCGGGGAGGTCAAATCCGGGCGCGCCAGCCGCTGCTGCCGCTTCGCGCTTGGCCATCTGGGGGCCCATCTGTGCCCGCACCAAAGGTCCCTCCGGCGAAAGGTCACTCTTGCGTCTGGTCAAATGCACGCGTCCGAGCGATGCCCACCCATCCCTCTCTCCACCTCCCTTCGCACCTCCCCGCCCTGCCTCGGCCCGGGGGCACCCCGGGTGGGCGCCCGCCCCCGCCGCACTGGCGGGCCCCCCAAGCTTTGGGTTCGGGTCCCGGTCCGACCGAGCCTCGGCGGCAGACCCGCCGGGCCAATCTCGCGCCTCGGCAGCGAGCGGCCGCTCCCCTGCGGGGCTGACCGCGAGTGCCCTCTCTCTTTTTTCCGATTTGTTTCCCCCCCCCCCTCTCTCTCTCTCTCTCTCTCTCTCTCTCTCTCTCTAGGAGGAGGAGGAGAGGAGGAGGAGGAGGAGGAGGAGGAGGAGGAGGAGGGGGAGGAGGAGGGGGAGGGGGAGGAAGGGAGGGGAGGAGGAGGAGGAAGAGGAGGAAGGAGAGGAGGAGGAAGGAGGAGGAGGAGGAGGAGGAGGAGGAGGAGGAGGAGGAGGAGGAGGAGGAGGAGGAGTGCCCTCTCTTTCTCTTTTCCGTTTTTTCCCAACCCTCCTGCGTTGGGTTCTCGTTTTGAATAGAGCACTGCTCGCGCGTCTCCTTCCCACCCCCTCCCGTCCCTCTCTTCCCCCTTGCCTTTCGCTTCGCTCGTCGCTGCGTGCCAGCTGGGGGGCTGCGATATGTGAAACTGTCGCCCCTTTCGAGGGCTGCTGGGAGCCCAGCACAGTGGGCACGCACGGCGGATTCAAATGGGACCTCGCCATCCCTGGGGGCTGCGATCTGTGAAACTGTCGCCACTTTCGAGGGCTGCTGGGGGGCCCAGCACAGTGGGCACCCGCGGCGGATTCAAATGTGACCTCGCCATCCCTGGGGGGCTGCGATATGTGAAACTGTCGCCACTTTCGAGGGCTGCTGGGGGGCCCAGCACAGTCTGCACCCGCGGCGGATTCAAATGTGACCTCGCCATCCCTGGGGGGCTGCGATTTGTGAAACTGTCGCCACTTTCGAGGGCTGCTGGGGGGCCCAGCACAGTCTGCACCCGCGGCGGATTCAAATGGGACCTCGCGATCCCTGGGGGGGCTGCGATCTGTGAAACTGTCGCCACTTTCGAGGGCTGCTGGTTCTGGGCAAGCGTCTGTGCGATGGTGAAGGGGCGCGGGCGCCCCGTCGGTGTCTCGTATCGCCACGTCGTCGTCCTCCTCGCCTCTCCTGCCCCCGTCAAGCCCCCCTCCCCGCGGGACGCCCCCCTCTCCCCGCGCGGAAGACATGGTCGCCTGTCTGGCCGGCGCGGAGGGGGCGAGAGGTGAGGGAGGAGGGGGAGCGAGGAGGGAGGACGGTTTTCCCCAGCTCTGGCAACTGAATGCCTCAACGGGAGTGCTGGGCAGCTGCAGGCCGCTGAGTTGGGCAGATTTAGCCCAGCTCAGCCCTCCCCGAAGGAAGGTGGATTGCAGCGGGCACGTTTGGGGGAGGGGGGGCGGGAATTTGACGCCGTCGGCGGCGCGGGGTCGGCGACCGCCCCGACCATGGAAGGCAGCCATGGCGCCTGCACCACACGTAGGAATACAACCCAGAATCCGCACCCATCCCCAGAAGCCACTTTCCTGGAAAGCACAGCCCCCCCGGAAAGATTACTTCTGGGCAAGCGTCTGTGCGATGGTGAAGGGGCGCGGGCGCCCCGTCGGTGTCTCGTATCGCCACGTCGTCGTCCTCCTCGCCTCTCCTGCCCCCCTCAAGCCCCCCTCCCCGCGGGACGCCCCCCTCTCCCCGCGCGGAAGACATGGTCGCCTGTCTGGCCGGCGCGGAGGGGGCGAGAGGTGAGGGAGGAGGGGGAGCGAGGAGGGAGGACGGTTTTCCCCAGCTCTGGCAACTGAATGCCTCAACGGGAGTGCCGGGCAGCTGCAGGCCGCTGGGTTGGGCAGATTTGGCCCAGCTCAGCCCTCCCCTTGAGGCCAGGGAAATGACAAGGCAGCCTGGCCGCGCCCCGTTGAGGCAAGAGCGCTCACGGGGGCGACCCCGTGGGCGGGGGTTTCGGGCAGCGCGCGCCGGACTGAATAAAAAGGCTGCAGCGCTCCTCTTCCTTCACCCGGAGATACACGGATCGCATGGTGTCTGGGCTGCACCAACCACCTTGCGCCTGTATCACTTCGTCCGGGACGAGATTATGGTATTTGTACCACTGCGCACCTCCTTTCCGGAGGGAATGTGCGCCCGTGCCCGGATGCGGCAGGACGGCGTGAAGCGCTTTCCTGAAGCTCTCGGCCGACAACTCACGAGGAGCCGCGCAACCGGTAACGGAGAATAACGCTCCGCCTACGGCGGCGGGCCAGAGTTGGGCCCGCAGCCGAAGCCACTCATTCAGCAGGCGGACTGGGCAGATATGGCCCAGGAATGGAATGGCAGGGATGAAACAACGCATCCCCTGACCATTCGGATCATTTTTCTGCCGCCTGATGAGTGCGACGTAATGGTCGGCATTCACATGGACATCTGACACCAGTAGCGCCCGCATTTCGGCACTCCGGCGTATGCCGAAAAATGCGAAGCTGCAGCTGCGTCGCGCGCCCCTGCTGGGGTGCCCGCGGCGCGCCTGGCCGTGCAAAACTGGACAAGTTGGTCCAGTGAGAAAGGATTCTTCGTGAGACTCCTCGTGTGGTCGGCCCTCTTTTTGAGGCCGCGCCAAAAAGCCGCCGACCGTTCTGTCCAGCAGCCCTTGAAGAGCGACAGAAGTTGTCGTTCCACGTGCCATGCGCGCACGGCTGCGTGGGTCGTCGTTATCGACCCCCACGGTTTTCCGTCCATGCTCGCGAACAGAAACATGAATTTTAAATCTGTGTCACAGGGCAGGATCTGCATCCCCGCCTCCGACTCGATTCGATTCACGCAGCTTCGCAATGCGGACTCGTACCGCGTCACTGTGGAAGGCCCCCAAGATGCACCAAGGCATGCCTTGATCGTGCTCACGGCTTGGGCTCGATGTTCCTTATGCTCGGGTGCGGCGTCGGTGACCGCTTCCAGCAAAGCCGGGTCAGCGCACAGCAGTTTGCGAGCGCCCATTTTGTCCTCCTCTCTCGCGGGCCCCGCGAGAACATGGATCGCCCGGCCGGCAGCAACAAATTCGACGACTCCTGGCCGCGGCGGGGGGGGCCACGACGTGCTCGCCGATGCAGAGGTGCGAGTGGCCGGGGTCTCCCGGATTAGACGGGAGCCGGGTGGAACACGAAGGTTCGCTTCACGACCGGAACGTAGTATGAGGAAGTCTTGGGCGTGAATGTGTTTCGGTCCAGAAGTGGGAGGCTGTGGAACTCCACGAGACTCCCTCTGCGGAGGCTCTGGTGCGATGGGGTCACGAAAGTCGTTGGCATGTATGTGTCCGGGGCCGACCCTCGGAAGCTTTCTGGGCGGTTCCATTGCCGCTTGGGCCGAAAACGCCTACTGAACGTGAGGACTGAGGGGTGGCAGCGGTGGAGGGTGGGAGGGGGGGAAGGGGTGGGGCGCGCGGAGGCTGAGGCGCACCCGTGTGCGCTCCGAACGGACCCTCAGCACGACGACCCCGCCGGTGGACCCGCAAGGCCGGGCGCCAGTGCCCTGGAGGACGGCCCAGCCGGGTGCCTCAGCGCAAGTTCCCTGGCCGGGCCCCCCGGGACGAGGCGGGGGCCGGGGTGCAAGGGGGCACCGGGGAAAAACCCGGTCTTAAGTAACTTTTGCGCCGCTGACATTGAGCATGTAGGATGATGCATGCGCGCATGAGACAGATCGCGACACAAGGCTGTACCCCCTTAAATTCCCGATCGCACCTGTACCCCCTTAAATTCCCGACACCTCTACCTCCTCACCCCCCCCCTCCTCGCCCTCTCGCACTCCCCACCCGCGCAGGCCGGCCTGTAGGAGGGGCGGGGGGCGGGAGGTTGGAAGGGCGGGGGCCGGGGCGGGAGGGAGGGATCGGGGGGGAATGGTAAGCGTGTGTTTTGGGATCTGGCCCCCCCGCCGTGGATGGACGACGATGCATTTTCCCTGTCGACGCTGGGGCCTCCAACGTCGACGTGGATCCGCGCGGCGCGCTGGTCATGGGAGAAATCGCACCAGGTCGCCGCGCGGACCGCGATCCGGTCGCAGGCGCGGGTGCGCAAACGGATTTGTGGTAGGAAGAGGCGCCGCTTACGATCGGCGCACAGAATATCATTTGTATGGCACGGGAGGCGCTGCGCAGGATACGGACGACTGACAATCATAAAGTATTAATGTTAAGTTAGTGTACATGTGCTCAAAGGCTCTTCCCGTCGTCCGCAGGCGCGGCGGCCCTGCGCAGCTGGCGCGGCAGGGTGCGCGGTTCAATTGCCCGGGCACTCCTGCATCCAGTGGTACAC